AGATTCTTAATTTAGTACCCACAACTTTACTCTTCGTTAATCGTACACATCAATTTATATATAAATTATTTATGATTCAGTATGACATTATGTCTTCCAGAATTTTGACTGAATGCATGGAATTTGTAAACTGTTAAGTTATTACCGGAACTCTACGTCCGATCCAGCATCTTTATTTAATACCTGTAGAAATTAATGTATAATATTTTCCCAATTTAAATGTTCTTAAAGAAAGAGAGAATTATCGTCGTTAATATGTTTCTTTTGTATCATAATAACTGCTGAAAGAGTTTAGACACAATATCTCCAAGCTATAGAAGAGAACAATTAAAATAAGAATTTTTATGTACTAAAAATTACTTCCTATTTCTATTTGTAGCTAACACTGAAATTATTTTTATGGTTCAGTATGTAAATAAAAAAAACTTAATATGCGAACCTCTTTGTTACAGGAGTGCGTCAGGAGCAGGACATTTACGTTCGGCTGATAGACAGCGTTACGAAGCAGGTGAGTCATCAACTCAGATTTAATAAATGCATGAAGTGTAGTGAACCGTACAAATTATGAGTCACAAATAAAGAGTAAAACAATATTGTAGGTGCGTGAGAATAATGTGTTTCAAGATGATATAAACCCATGACGCGTGACAGTTTGATACATACTCGAGGATATCATTATTATATGTGGTTAAAGGAAAACTATAGCAAATATTGTTTCGAAAAAGTGTAAGCATCACTCCACATATTTTACGTGAGACAAAAAACAGAAAAGCGATTTCTAAAAACCATATTGAACAGATCCGTCTCTACAGGAAAACGATCCTGGCTCGATATATAATATTCAGGCGTGGAACGCAATTTATTATTATAAAATAACCCAACTAAGATGAGATAATCCTTGTACATGTCGACAAGAATCAAGAAGTTATTTTCATTATAGCAACGAATGCGAATGAGCCCTTACTTCGTTTATGATTACACGTATTGGGCTCGGGTGGATCGTACTTCATTTCTTGAATTAATATGATATTTAGACATCGAAAGTATACTAAAATTGTTTTAATGTAATTTATAAAAATAATACGATATATTTTTCTGAGCATCTTGAGTATCTACAATGCCGAGAGAAAACCCTCGGTCGTGTTCTTGCTCCATCTCGTTCTCAATTAATCACAAGCCTACTGTAGTAGACAAGCAAGCATCTTATGTAAGAGAGAACTCACTCGTCCCCAAATTCGGACTTGGCGAGGCAATGCGAGATGCAATTGATCACTCGAGTATCTTGACGGATTAAACGTTTTTTACAACCACTAGACATCTCTAGACTCTTATTGCACGGTATTCCTTTCCAATCAATTGTTACATCACCTTCCCATTCTAAAGTAAAATTCATATGAATACTCTTAATTACAAGCGATAAATCTTATTATCTATTTTGCTATAGTTGTAGGAAACTGTTTGAGACATCGGCATTGGAAGTATGTTTTCTTCATTTGTATGAGTATAGTTTTAGTTATAACACGCAGAAACTGAATTTTAGTTCGAGCTTTTCTTGGGTCCGAAAAAATGTTCAGTGGTTCACGAAACGGTACGATGAGGTTGAGGCACTCCATAAATTGTGATCAAAAATTTAATGTTTCACCTTGAAAGAAAATTACTGTAATTCAAAACTGCAATGTAAAATTCCAAGTGACGATACTCATTTTATAAATGATTTGTAATAATATTACGTCTCAAATGAAAGCAGCAGTTTTGATATAGAAGCAATCGGATGAGTCTTTAAATTATATCACTCAAATCATTGCAATTAAGTTTCTAAATGTCGCCATATATATCGTAGGCTTACCATTTGCAATCATTTTTTTTCGTACAAGTTTCCATATGAAAACGACTCGATAAATTGATTTGGACTTTTCAAATTACACAGCAATAAAAATACCATCAAAATTAAATATAGGGAACGTGCAAGCAGTGATACATCGCCTTTCATCTCCGAAATATCTGGCCAAAAGCGAGGAAGACAAAAGGCAGAGGAAGATTCGTCGCAGCCCGTGTGAATGCGCGATTACGCGGAGGGACGAGACCGCAATTAAAGATTCTTCAACTCTCGAACTTTCCGTCCGCTCTTCACGACATCACGGCCTACGACTCTCCATCGGACATGCATTCTTGACTCTGGCTTTGTAGCTATAGAGAATTCAATCACTTTTTAGACGAACATTTTAGAGGCCGGCTTCTCTAATCGATAGTTTTTCGTGGTTTTCCCGATCAATACCGGGATAATGTCAGAGCCCTGACAACCGTCACGGACCGCGCGCGCAAATCCTTACCTGATGTTCCATCGGGAGAGAAATACTGCCACCTTCTGGGATACAGTATTCTCTCTACACACAAACACACACACGCGCGCGCGCGAGGCTGATGACATCAGTAGTTGAGGCGATCACAAAATAAATACAAAACCCGGCGAAACAGGGCGAAACACAAAATAATCACTAAATCAATCCAACACCTCCTCCACATCCGCGACCGCCTTCAGCGCTCCACCTCCAGCGCCCTCACCACGCCCTCACCACGCCCTCACCACTTTGTGGTTTGCGCGAAACTGCACCGCGATTGCCTTGATCGCGTTAAGGCGACCCGCGCGAGCAGAATCTTAACGCGAGGAATGCTAAAAGTCGAAAGCCGCCGCTGCTCCCGCCACCATCGCCGTCGCCGCCGCCACAGGCGCCCTGCGTTCGTCGTTCGTCGCAGCGCGATACCGGAGAAGGGGAAGCGACGACGAGGCTTGAGCCGTAACTCGCTTAGCCCCGAAATCTAATTCCTGCCTGTCAAAGCGAGCGAGCAAGCGAGTGCGCGGGTGGGCGAGCGAGCGAGCGGGCAAGCCAGCCAGCCAGCGGGGACGGAGAGCCCCTGAAAACCGTGGGCGGCGCAGCGGGAGGGGAGGGGAGGGGAGGGGAGGGGTGAGCGAGTGAACAGGCGAGACACTGAACCAGAAACGAAGGGGTCGGCCCAGCGATTAACGAAACGCCCCACAGGCAAGAGCCCATGACTGCGCGTCGTGGAGTCGACGACTGGTACACTCGAGCCTTGACGGACGATTTTTTAAATGGGCTAATTATGTCAAATGAAGTTACTGCATTCAAGATAACTCATTCCTGTTTACTGTTTATAGTCGATATTTGGTAATCTAGAAGTAGATGATAGTTGAGTATTAACGTGTCTATTCTGCTTTTTTGGACGTTATTTTATTTTATTAATTAGCAAATACAAATTAAACTGAACCTGTGCCGAAACAGTTTCCAAGGCATTCAATTTATAACATCATAATATTAATAAACACAATTAATATCAGGTATATTTATTTTCGGCATTTCTATTAAATTACCCTCTAAAATTACCAATGAATACAATTGTTTCTTTTTTAAATGGTGAATATAAAAGCGAATAAACTACTGGATAAAATGAACCGTATTTATAAAAACGCAATACAATAAATTTATTAATGTTACAGATAGAATTTTCGTGGTTTTAATGTGGTAAAATTGGTATCTGCCATTAATTCATAATGAGTTTTAATAAGAAAGATAAAACATTTTCCTATCCTTAAACCTTTAATACAAGAAATTTCTCGTTTCATTTCCAAAGGTCTTTGAGTTTGTGTTTCTGAATTAAATTGTAGAAAGATGTAATATTGTGAAATCTGCGGTAGGAAATCTGTCAAAAGATTAAATAAATTCTCTAAATAATAATGTTGGAAATTCCTTAATGTTCTATGACTGACTGTTCGTATACCTCCTATGAAATGTCCATAGAACAGTTAACTGTTTCGTGTCTAGTTAGTGGACATTTAATAGCGAAATAATATCATTTTATTTAAAACTAGGAAGTGGGGGAAAGCGATTTTTTCTCAAAAAGTAAAAAAAGTATCATAGACGTTATCTCGGCATTCACTGAGTGCTGTTCTTCATTTTGTTCGAAGTACACGAATTTCCATGGCAATTTCGTCGAAGCTTCTCTCTCTTTTGCGGTACGAGAAATGGCGACAACTCGGCAACGGTATCACTTTAATTGGAACCACGTTCGTTTCACCTTCTCCGCCTTTCTCCCTGGCGTTTGCCTCGGTGGCGTTGGAATTGCCAAACGAGCCAGCCTGATGTTCCTGTTACGGCCTGTTTTCCTCTCCCAAAGCCACGGTCCGTGCGCTTTCTCATTACACTTCAATTAGTGGTCAGTGCATTAGCAGTCATTAGATGCTGTACATTCACTCCCGTAAAATTCGTGACCTCGTTATTCACACGAACGAGAGATGATGTAGTACTACAGATCCCGCATACTCCACCAGAAAAAAGACTCTTCATACTCTCATCACGCGAATCGAAAAGCTTCTAATTAAATCGGAAGATCCCCTGCCTTCGTAATAGCTGCCTCTCGAAAGCTCGTTACGAGACCGTCGTCATCCGGAAATTCAGGGCCCGATGAGCTAGGGGGCAAGCCACAACGTGCCCTGATTTTCCTGACGTGTAAATAAAATGCATCGCTTTGACTCCGATTGGGATTTCTTTCTCATCTCTTATCGTGGCACCTACTGTGGTAGAAAATAATAATAAGTCGAACCCTCACATATGTCAGCCCGATCTGGACCAACGCTGCATGAACCAACCTAAATAAAATAGATGTAATACAAAATACATTTCGCAGGAAGTTTATTAAAGCTCCTTGGTTCATAAGCAACATGCAAATCCAAAACGACCTAAATATAACAACCATAAACAACCATAAAAATCTTATGACCCATAAATTATTCTCATTCCTCCCCCAATCTCGCAGTACAACAATATTCCAACTCAGTAAAACGTATATTTCACCAATCATGATAAAATCACAATCTCCTAAAGACTCCCTTCGGGCGTCTTAATTCATCTATCCATCTTTTTCTAAGCTTCCTCTCTAAAATCCCACCCACTAACATCACTATTTAGAAAATTACCGTATAACTACGAAAACTGACCCCGGCAGATTTTTGTTCACTGGCTAGTAAAATGAATTGTCACACCCTTGAGAAAGAAGGTAAGAATGCGGCTGTTCATCCCTAATAGTTAATGTGTAAAAATTTGTATTATAAACTACCCTGAAAAGCAGAAATGCCGAGCAAGCAGAAATAAATTTTGAAAACACTCTTATCGTAATTTTACGTACTTTAAGATTAATTATATTTAATTTTAATTCTGTCACAAGCTAAAATTAATAACTTTGGGAGAAAAGTATTAAGAAAAATGTATCCTGTAACATTCAGAAACGTTTTTTTTACAAAATGTAAGTGATAATTGACTAATTCATACTTTTCTCCCTTTACACTAAGCGTTTATTGAATACTTGTATTGGACAATGACTGCATCTATCATAACCATTAGTATTTTGTCTGAGAGCAACAAATTCTCACCACCTCGTAGAGTGCAGATAATCCCTGCCATATATGCTTATATTCCCTACGCATATTTATGTCCC